TCCTGAAATTGCTTCCTTGTAGGTGGACGGCTCATGAAGCTCCACTTCCTCAGCAACTTGCAATGCATAGCCCACCATATCATCAAACCCATACCTCTTTGGAGGTCCAACTCCAACCCTTCTTGGTCGGTCAAACGCAATGCTGTGCTGAAAACCTTCAGATGTTTGATTTTCTGGTGGTGTAGATTCTGGCAGATTAGTTTCTGGTTGTAGTAATTGATTACCGACCAACTTCTGTGCTTCGCTCTCCCCTTGAGTAACTTGCACCTCCATATGTCCATCAACAACTTCATTCCCTGCTACAATAATGGACTTCACCATAGGGTTGAACATAGAACTCTCATCAAAAATTACACTCCTACTAAGTATAACCCTATTCTCAGATGGAGACCAGATTCTATATCCCTTCACCCCTTCTCCATAGCCCATGAATATTCCCTTTTTAGCCCTTGGCTCTAGCTTACCTTCATTGACATGATAGTAAGCTGTACAGCCAAAAACTCTCAGATTTGAGTAATCAGCAGGCTTCCCTGTCCACACCTTATAAGGTGTTTTACAGTCGATGCCTGTGTGTGGTCCCCGGTTTGTTATGTAACATGCTGTTGTAACTGCTTCTGCCCAGAAACGTCTAGTTAGACCAGCGTTAGAGAGCATGCACCTCGCTCTCTCTAGAAGTGTCTGATTCATGCGCTCCGCTACACCATTCTGTTGTGGTGTATCCCTGACTGTGCGGTGTCGAGCAATTCCCTCATCCTTGCAAAACACATCGAACTCAGATGAGCAGAATTCTAGACCATTATCAGTTCGCAGCCTTTTGATCTTCTTCCCAGTTTGATTCTCCATTAGCGTCTTCCACTGCCTGAAGTTCTTGAACGCTTCACTTTTATGCTTCATCATGATTACCCAAGTCATCCTTGAGTAATCATCGATTACCGACATAAAAAATCTGTGACCGCCCAAAGACTCAACGCGAGACGGACCCCAACAATCTGAATGGATGTAATCCAGTGTTCCCTTTGTTCGGTGAACTGCCTTTGGAAACTTGCTGCGGTGTAGCTTTCCAAAAACACAATGCTCACAAAACTCAAGGCTTTTGATCTTGTGACCACCAAGAAGATCTTCCTTTGACAGAATTTGCAGCCCTCTTTCACCCATGTGTCCAAGTCTCATATGCCATAACCTGTTCAAATCATCCTGGTGAACCACAGATGATGCAACAGCTACAGAACCAATGTCTGTTGAACCTTGCAAAAAATACAAAGTTCCCCGTTTGACGCCCTTGAGAATCACATTTGAGCCCCTGCAGACATGTATAGCTCCACCTTCACCCTTGAAGCTAAATCCCTTACTGTCCAACAAGCTTAGGGATATCAGATTCTTCGTCATTAGTGGAACATGTCTGACGTCGTGCAATGTGCAGAATTTACCATCATGCGTCCGAATCTTGATCGAGCCTATTCCAACCGCCTTGCAGACCGAGCTGTTTGCCATAGACACATTTCCCCCGT